TCATCCAAAAATAGTTGTGGGCACAGGTCTCTGCTACTGTTATTTTGTGGGTCAAAAGCTGAAAATTTGGGAACCACTGCACTTCAAAAATCCATTTAAAGTGTAATGAAATAATTGGTGATATAATATTTTCCCTATAATTATTACAAAAACACAAAATAAGTATTTATATTTGTGTAGCCTTTGTTTTTAGGGTTATTAACAAAGTTTGTGTACTCAGACCAGTAATATTTGGGGTCACAAGTTTTTGCCATGAATATTTTGTGGGTCAGAAGATAAAAAGTTTGGGAACCACTGCTGTAGAACACGTGTTAAACTCAAGTCACCCCCCCACCCTCCAATGTTTTTTTTCTTATTATTATGAAAATTGTTTCTTATATCAATGGTAAACTTTAAATCTGTGATTAAGTACAACAAAATAAATTTAAAAGGTGAAAGCTATTATTAATTGTCCTGCCACCCTGAGCTGTTGGCTTTAAGTAACTGAGCAATTTAGTTGGATAGCACAGTATAAATGTCTGAAAATAAGCTGCTTTAAAGTCAGCATCGACTATAAACTAAATTTGCTATAATGCATGTTGATCATCCATGGAAATTCCCTGTCAGACAGTGGGAGAGTTAAGAATTCAAGATGGTACAGTAGCTATTCACTAGAAACTCATCAGTGATCAAGACTTTTAATAATATTCCTGTATTGGTTATTTCAGATTTAGTCAGTCGGACGCTTAGTTCTTATCAGTGTTTAAAAGAGGACGTGTTAAAACTCTGTTTCAAAGTTAAACATGAAACGTCAAAGTTCATTACAACTGGCCCTTCGAGAGCCACCATAACACTCATGTGGCCCTCAGTGAAAATGAGTTTGACACCCCTGCCGTAGAACAATAGGGACCCATGTTCTGGTTTAAATTAGATAAACAAGTATGAGTGTGTTTTGGGAGTTTGTATAACACATTTTTTTATTGTTTTTGTTTTATGCATCTAATGGAAAAATTAATTTTGCCTTTATATGTTTCTCTGTGTGACATCAGGTGAATGAGATCTACCATGATAAGTCTTTGGGAGCAAAAATCAATGTGGTGCTGGTGCGGATAATCATGCTGGGAAATGGCAAGGTAAGACCTGACAGGACACTAGACCCTTTGAGAAGATGCAGTTCTTGAAGTGTTGCTGCCTTCAAAAACAAGATCAGGTTGTTTTTGTTGTTTTTTTTTTTTTATTTATTTATTTGTCCCTCTGTTAGCACCATTTATGGTATTGGGACTTTGTTACAGTCACTTTAGGTACCTTCCGCTAAATCATACGCTCATAAACAAACACACTTGCACACTCACCAGAGCATACGGCGGTCTAGAGCTTGTTATTCCAGTGGACTGAGCAAAAGAGGAACTAAAAGCATGAAGCATCCCAGAGGAGAGCTTCCAAGTCACACGCCTTCACAGTTCAGCGCCAAAGCACACAGAAATTCTGCTCGTTATGCAATCAGTGTTCTTCCCAGCAGGTTGCAGCACAGAATCATGGGCAGTCTAGACAAAGGTAAATAATCAATGATACCCCACCCTCATTCATAAAGAGACTGGACTATAAGGCTAACATCCCTTTTTCTTCTGGACTGTAACTTTATCTATACGCCTCTGCTGAAGAGAGAAAAGCAAGATTCTGTACAGCCGGAACAAAAGGAATGCTGGGATTACCCCTGTGGTTGACACCGATGATTTTATTGGTGGATAGATAGTGATGTACTGCTGCTGCAGTCACGCCTACGGTCCCGAAGGAAGTCTGTGAAGACACACACACACACACACACACACACACACACACACACACACACACACACACACACACACACACACA